CTCTGAGTCTTCGTTAACAGCTGAGAACTTCACTGGCTGTCTGTGGCATAGGCACTGTTTAAAGGAGTTTCCAGTGATTCATAAATTATCCACATACTACAGCAATCCCTCCTTGAAGTATTCAGTCCTTTAGGTCCTGGCCCAAAAATAGCCAGAGAGTTTTTAAATCCCTCAGGCAGTAGTACTATCCGGCAACCTTGTGTCTTTGCTTTGGTCTTGCCTTTCATAGGCAGAGGCTGTGTCTCTGTGTCAATCAAAATGCAGAAGAAATCCAACACTGAGAATCACAAACTGTTTCTTGGAATGACATTTATCAGAGTATATGGATTAGGAAGAATAAGGTCTATATCTTGTATAATGTCATTGATTGCCTGCAGGGCTTGTATGAAGTTCTCAGCTATTAATGAAGACTCTGTATTCTTCAGTGTGGTTTTTCAACTGGTAATATAGTTGTGTTACAGGGATACTGGGAGGATCTAATGAGCCCATTAATTTTTGAAACTTTTCATTACTGGTTTGATACCTTCTAGGGCTTCCTTTCATAGAGCATTTTTCGGAGCATTTTTATTTTATTTTATATATTTTTTTACAAAATTTTTCATTTTTGCACAATGTATGTATTTTCATCTTGGTTATAGTCCCCATACAATTCCCACTCCCCTTGTATTGATCCTATTCCCTCCCCTCCCCCCTCCCAGTACTGTGTCTCTGGTTTATAGTTGCTTGTTGGTTTTGATTTTTACTTTATTATAATTAGTCTTTTTCCTGGTCCTTTATTTTGGTTTTCTAAATTCCTTCTATGAGAGAGACCATTCAGTATTTTTCTTTTTCTTTCTGGCTTATTTCGCTGAGCATGATCCCTTCCAGCTCCATCTATGTTGCTGCAAATTGCATGAGTTTATCTATTTTGATTGCTGAGTAATATTCCATTGTGTGTATGTACCATTCCATATTTTCTTGATCCAGTCATCTATTTTGGGGCATTTGGGTTTTTATTAGGGACCCTGGATGCATCCTTTTGTTGGGTTTTTATTGGGGATGCTCTTTTGGCCCTCCCAGACTCCCTGGATGCCTACACAGCTGTGTCTACCTTAGCCAGCATTTCTTCAGATCAGGAAGCACAGGTTACCTCTTCTTCCCACAATTTCAAGAGATGCTGCCAGGCATGTTCCAGGGGGACTTATAAATGAAGCTGCTGTTTTTCTGGAAGAAAGACAATCTGTGACTATAGTTTAGTTAACAAGTCTCTCCCAAAGAGTGGTATTGGACAGTCAGGGATGTAAAGGAATTTATGAATGAGGGTCCTGTTCCCTATCAACCATTCCAGAAGATTGAGAAATATTGACTTTTTGGATTTCCAGAAATATCTTTTACTGTCACAGTTTATTTTGATGTTGTTGTATTTGGTTTGTTTAGTACCGAGTACGTAGCCCTTGTATCTATCAAGAAATCAAATGTTTGACCCCTCACTGTTTAACCTGACTCTCCTTGGGGGATAACTTTGATCAGCTAGTTGAGCTGGGGAGCCGCTGGGCCTCTTCAATCCTCCTCATTCCCTGCATCTTGAGCCAACATGACTCTTGATTCCTCCTTTTCCCTCCACTTTTGACCCTGCTTCCTCTTTGGGCATACATTTTTTTCAGTGCCACATTCCCTTATAATAAGAAGACTGATCTATTTCCAGTTCCTTATAGCTGCTTCTCCCCTGTATTTGACCCTTAATGCCTGCTCCAAGAAGATTGTGGTCGACTATGACTTACAGCATTCTCTGTTGTTGAATACTTTGAATACCATGTCTACCAATTGAGAGGGATTCATCCCAAAGTTCCCTTCCACACTTTAATTTCTTTCAAATGTCTGGGGTGCTTTGAGACATGTAAGTTGTGTTTGCCATTCTGATATTATCAGGGGCTTGGGGATCAATATCAGTGTATTTTCAAAATGCTTGATAGATCTGTTCCAGGAACTCAGATGGGTCCTTGCTAGCTTTTTGCTGGACCACCTGAACCATGTTCAAACTTGTTGTTTTGACACACCTTTTTGAGACCCTCTAGAATGGATCTCCTAATTGTGGTAGTCCATTTCCACGGGGTCCCAATTTGACTCAGTATGTAGGACAGCAGTTTCAAGAGGAAGAGCCCCATCTGGATTTTCCTCCCTCCTCTCTAGCCTTATCCTGCTGACTGTTGTTCCTTTACTCCAAGGAGAGTTTTCGTAATGGGTGGTGCCCTACTGGGGGTTGGGCAACACCGCCACCAAAATGAGTATGCTCCTGGGTTTGAGAGAAGAACACCATGCCAGACCTTTCCTCACCTCCATTTTTCCTAGCATTGTGTCTGGCCCCAGATACAGGGGTGGGAGGTGAGGCAAGCAGATTCCTCAGCAGGTAGTTTGGGAGCTGGGCTTGCAGCTCTGCTGGTCTGGCTGCATGTGCTTCTCCTGCTGCACCTTCCCCTGCAGTGACCTTTAGGGCTAACCGGCCCTAGGTCCGGCTGGCAACCACTGCGCAGGGGAAGAACAGCAAAAACCTACCTGCTGCACCTCCCCCCGCAGTGATCTTTAGGAATGGCTTTCGCCACATCCGGCTGGGCAACCAGCGCGCGGGGGGGGGGGGGGGGGGGGGGGGGGGGGGGGGGGGGGGACAGGAAGTTCCCTGAAAAGGCAGAAGCTTATCAATAGATAACGACCACCAAGAACCACTACAAGAATGCTAAAACTTTTCCCATTCTTTCTAGAACTACAAACTTTAATCCCTTATTTGTCTTTCTAAACTTCCTTCTTTCTTCCATAATGGTCATTGCTTGTTGTGTAGATCACCTCCCTGATAGTGGTAGACTGAGCCCATGAGCAAGCTAATTTCATTGATATTCATTCCTGTGCTTTTGGAAAACATATATATACTGGTCACAAATTTAGAGAAAATTACACTCAGATTTTCACTCTTGAAGTGTGTCTGTTTGTCATTTCTTTCGCCGACGCCCTGACCACCATGCACGCTTCTCTCAACCCTGAGGTGGCCTCATCGTCTACTGCCTGCTGCTGTGCTGGTCCGCGGCATTCTCCTGCTCTCTTTCTCCCTGGATCTGCCTTTCTGGGGCAATTTGAAGTCTTTCTGACTTTACTATTCCCTTAGCCTGGGAAACAGAACCAGAAAAACTGGAAAGAACAAAATATGGCAATGAGATTTTAAATGATGATGATGAAAGGTATCAAGTACCACCCAGAAAATCCCCAAGTGAAATCATTTGGCAATGCTTCTTGGGAGTTTTCTTTTCACCTGGAATCTGGGCCCCCCTCACCCAGGCAATAGGCAGAGTACACCTGCCAGTGGTAACAAATACCCTGAGAGTCCTACTGTCATCCTGGTCTGAGTGACCATAAATGTAACTAGACAGTGTCTGTTTTGGACTGCCTGTCGCTGCTGGAAGCCAGTTGAGCAGAGACAGGAATTGAATGTATAACACACACTTTATTGTCAGAATGCCAACGACTGAGAGAAAGGGAGTTTATTTACCCCAAAAGCCAGTTCTGACATCTCATCTCAAGCTAGCCTTTTTCTAGTAAACTAAGCAATTAATCATAAGTGAACCTCCTACTACAAGCCCATCACAGTTGGCGCCCTGGTCTTCAAAAGTCCCCAGAGTTTGGTGTCTCCCCCTTAGTCATCTTGTCCCAGGTAGATCTTGTTTTCCTGGGCCTGGGAAAAACATCCTGTTTGCCTAACAGCTTGATGTCTCACACTTCTTCAAGTATCACTGGGGTAGGACTTGCAGTTCAAAACAAGAGTTTTATTTCCAAGAAAACAGATTATTAATCACACAGTGTTTGCATGTGGCCTATGCTGATTCTTAGTATACTACGTATCGTGCCTTTCCCTTCCCCCCAGCTCCTAGCACTACCAGCTTCTCTCATCTCTCCCTAGAGCTCCAAAACTACCTGCTAACTTCAGCTCACATTTTATCAAGTTTTTCTCTCCAGTGCATGCTAACAATCACACAGTTAACAATTACTGATGCTTTCTAAGCATCACTCTAAACTTCTGCATCTTACCTTATTTTGTCTTACTATGAAATCTAAGTGGTACATATAAACATCCTCATCTTAGAGATGAGAACTCTGAGGACAGGGAAATAAAGTTCTGTAATTCGCCTCACTCTTTAGGTGTGACATCAGAATTTTTGCTGAGTCTGTTTAAATGCAGAGCATGGACGGCTATTTTTATAATTCTCACTCCAGAGATACCAAAATTGTCACAAAACAAATCAGGTCTCTTTCGAGGAGGGAAGAAAATATGAAGGAAAGAAATACAATTTTCTCTTTTTTCTCCAAAAGTGATTTGGGGATTCGGTCTATCTTTAGTTTCTCTACTTAACCCTTACCTACAGGACAAGTTGTCACTGTAGATAAGACCTGCCCATGCAGCTGGAGTGAGAGTGAAGGGTGGGCAGGAAGTGGCCAGGACTGGGGACAGCTTGGCCAAAATACAGGCTTCTTCCTCTTCCCAGTTTCTGTACTCTGCTCTTGTTCTCCAGAGTGGGGAAGCTTTCCACTGGCAACAACTGAAATTTCTCTACCATGTCCCCTCTGTCTCCAAGAAAACTACTATGGGAAGATGTGGATTCCAGTCCAAGCTCCTCCAGGACTCCTGGGAACTAAAGGGGCCTCCTATCCCTTCCTCCCCTGAGATCACGAGTTATGCCCTTTGTTAACCTCCAAGGGCTATTTGTTGAAAATGTTCACCAAAAGAAAACCAGGACTAGGTTACGGTTCAGGCATCTGTGTTGTATGATCTTCCCTGTTACTCATGGTGAACCAGCAAACAGGTGACTCCAAATAGGAGAGAGGCCCCTCCCAGCAGAGGGAAGCCTGGACAAAACCCCTCTTCCTCACATTGTCCTCCTCTTTCTGGACTGAAACTTTGATGCTCCTCCCACTCTCCCCTTCTTGGAAGTCACACCCTTTTGTACTCCCTATAAGATCTGTACCCAAAGGACCCCGGATTTGCAGAAACTGGCCTCCACTCTCCAGAGACCAAACTAGACGCCCAGGTGAGTGCCCATCAGGTGGTCTTTGGAGCTGCTTCTGCTTGAGGGTGGAGAGGCAGGAGCAAGAGGGGAGAGGCCAGCACTGAGACAGCTTGGGCCAGGCAGAGCCGGGGGCCAGAAAGAGCTTGCCAGCTGCAAAGAGACCCCATGGGGCTGGGGAAGGAGCAGTTTCAGGGTGAGGGAGGTGAGTATCTCTCTGTGGAGCATGTGGCGTCTCTCCCTGAGGCCAATGTCAGGCACTGGGTTGAGTGTCCTGAGCTGGAGGACAGCAGGGCCTGCCAGCCTGATCCTGTGTCAGGGAAGCTCATGGTTTATCGGAAAGGATCCTCTAATGAAGTGGTTGAGTACTGGGTACACATGTATTTGACATCAAAACAGCTCAGTAGTCACAGACAGGACTGCCAGGGTTTGGTCACTTTGGCGCTCAACCACAGAGGGGAGGATGGAGTGTCTCTAGCAAGCAGGAGAAAATGCTCTCGAGAACAATAGTGTCTGATAACTTGGCAGATCTCAGGAAGAGTGTGATTTCTTGCTGATCTAAGGGGAACCTGTAACCCAGAGCCCAGCGATGGGAGCGGGGTCCTTCTCCTAAGGGGCGTCTTTTCCTCCTCTCTCCTCTCCCAGGTGGGGCCTCCAGGGGATCGTGGCCACAATGGCTCTGAAGTCCCTTGTCCTGTTCTCACTGCTGGTCCTGGTGCTGCTGGTGCTTGAGGGAGCCCAGGCTTCCCAGCTGAGGGAGTCTGAGGTGGAAAAATTCAAGCGACAGCATGTGGACCCTGGAAATGGCCTCTTCGACAGCAACTACGGTGACCAGATGATGAAGCACCAGAATATTTTAGACAAGGAGTTCAACACATTTGTGCACCAGCCCCTGGTGTCTGTGCAGGCCATCTGCCGTGAGTCAAACATCCTCTGCAAGCAGGGACAGAAGAACTGCCACAAGAGCAGATCCCCAATGAGCATCACAGACTATAACAAGAAACAAGGGACCCACAATTACAACGCCATTAACAAAATGAGACACATCACCATTGCCTGCAACAGTAAACGTGAACCTGTCCACTATGAGGGTTCCGAAAAGGGATCCAGCTGAGCCTGAATAGAGATGTACCTCACCCCTACTTATCATCATGGCCCCTTCTCTCCTGAGCTTTTTCCTCTTTGCCCCAATGAGAATAACTCAAGTTGGGCTCCTGGCCATCCCACACCAGCATCCCTGCCTGAGGCTTGTACCACGTGGCTTTGGGGGGTGGGACAGGCTTGCATGTTAACCTCCTCACTGCTTCTTTTAATAAAACATACTTGCAACCTGAAGCTGCCCCAGCCAGGGCCTGTCTGTGTGATGCCTCCCTGCAGAGCTGAGCAGGGTTTTGGAGAGTTCTGGTGAGCAGCATGGGGAGAAATCAAGTGCCTGCTCTTCTGACTCTTGTTTTCAGTGATCTGAGAGAATCCTTTCTTAGAGATTCTTTGAAGCCAGGATGAAATTTTAAGTGTGGGCTGTTTTAGATAGAAGGGAGTTATGGGTCTGTGGGTGTCCTGGTTGGGGGTGTGGTTGGTAACATACATCTAAAGAGGTGTGACCTTGTACCGAGACTCACATGTGGTGTTGGAAACCAATGTCATTGCAATAAAAAAAAAAAATAAACAGTGGTTCAATTAAAAAAACAAAAAACAAAAATGGAACTGCAACCTGGGACACTGTCCCACTTGGTATCCTGACATAGGGTGAAGCTCAAGTGCAATATTCCAGGACTGGAAAGAACAGCAGGACCTCAGGGGACTCTGCTCAGCTTCAGCGTAGCGGGGAGGAATCTGTGAAGTTCTGATCCTAAATCTCTGCTTTCCTTTTTCTTCAAGTGAGCTAGTACTAAACCAGAAGAATGTGACGTCTCTCTGTAACTGGAAAATGTCAGGCAGCTGTTGCAACTCACACTAAATGAACAGAGATAGGAATTGGATCTGAAACATGCACATTAATATCAGAAAACCGGCTGAGAAAACAGAGCTGTTTTACCCCAAAAGCCTGTTCTACATACCATCTCAAGCTGGCGTTTTTCTAGTGAACTAAACAAAGACAGTTAACCAGAATCAATCTCCCACCACAACAGCCCATCATGGTTGGGGCCCTGGTCTTCGACATGTCCCCAGAGTTTGTTGTGGCCGTCTTGACTCAGGTATATCCTGTTTTCCTTTTCCTGGGAAAAACATCCTGTTTTTCTGATGGTGTCAGTGTCAGACTCATCTTCAGTCATCACTGGCGTAGGACTCCCAGTTCAAAACAAGAGTTTAGGTCAAAGAAAACACATTGTTAATCACATGGTGTTTTCATGTAGCCTATGTTGTGTGTGTGTGTGCGCGCACGTGTGTGTATATGTGTGCAGTTTTCTATACTAGGTATTATTTGTCCTCCCTAGTCCCTATCATTGCTTGAAAAGTCAAACATCACATGTAGGAGCAGAAGGGACTGTGAGACCATCAGATTGTGGGGAAGTGGGTTCCAGCTTGTGCACCTGCTTTAACTGGCAGTCCCAACCTGGAGTGCCCCAGATGCACATCTGAGGAGGGGGGTGCTTGAACAGTCACCTCTGGGGAGGGGCACCAGAGTGGGGGGAAAATGTGCCACCTGCTGTCATCCCTGGTCTGAGGTCACCCCCACCTCTGACTCAGGAGCCTTTGGAGCCTCAGACGGGGCCGTGCCCTGCTCTGCCCCACTGCTCGTCTCTGCACTGCCAGGGCCACGGCCATTGCTCTTCTTGCTGCTGGGGCCCCAGAAGGGAATTCCCCTGTCTCCCTCCTTCCCTGGGCTGTGGGGTCTGTCTGCTTTCTGAGCTCCCTGGCGCCTCTTCCCCCTGACCCAGCCTGTGAGCCTGTGGCCATTCTGCTCCCTTCTTGGCAGCCCTTCTCTACAGGCACTGAGAAGACTGAACTCTCCTGTGTGCAATTCTTCATTTCCCTTGACTCTGTTTACAGTTGCCCCTGGAGAGAGACAGGCCATTCAGTCAGCTGGACCAGTTCTGTTTTTGTCTTTAGCATTTGTGAATGTTGTGACTGTGCTTTTCTTATTTAGTAAAATGAATCCTTAGCCCTGGGGGCTTCTGTTTGAGACAGAAGGCCTGCACATGAGAGGGACAGGGATCCCTGGATGCGGAAATGGGTTTCTCCTTCCTTAAATAGGATGCGGGGGATGTGTTGGAGGGTGGGGCTTCTGTGTTCAAAGGAAACCTCATGTGTCTACATGTATTTCCTTTGCCCAGAATTATTCTTGAGTTAATCTTACTCTTCCACCAAATCCCAAACTCCTCACATTTCCCTCCTGCTAAGGGGGCTCTGTAGAGGGGGTGTAAGCACACTCAGGTTGAATTTGTCTGCATCTCAGTCTCACATTCACCTGCTCTCTTTCTGGTGCTCACCTCAGGATCTCTGGAAGCCTCCATCTGGGGATCCAGGGTTGGGAGGACACTGGTCCAGGCACAGCCCTGCAGAGAGCCTGTGGGGCAGGTATGTGCTCTGAGTAGGGGACCCTGGCGAGGAGGGAGGGCACCTGTGCTGGGTGCACAAGTATAATGACAGTTATATCTTGATGTGCGCTGTGGCAGGGTCAGCGCACATCAGGAGAGAAACCTCAATCATGGACACCCTGGAGTCTCTGCTCTGCAGGGACTGTACTGCTGTGTTATTTATTGTGGTGGTCCTGTATTGCTATAAATTTTCCTTTTAATATCACTCTGCAGGCAGTGGGATCTCATAGCTGATCTCTTCATTTTCATTGGTTGCCAGACCACTTTTAATTTACCCTGGACTTGACCCAAGAGTTACTCCAATGCATTTTATTTACTCTCCACATGTTGGAGTCTTTCACGGTTTTCTCTTTGTGGTTAATCTCCAGGTTCAGACTTTTGTGGTCAGATGAGATGCTTGCTAAGATTACAGCCTTCATATTTTTATTGAGGCTTGTTTATGTCCCTACATAGAATCTGTCCTTGAGGACACCACCTGTATCTGTCTATTTAGTCCACAAAATCAATTATTTCATCTAAAGTCACTATTTCTTTGTTTTCTTTCTGATCAATCCGTTGATACAAGTGGTGTCAGGATACGCACGATCAGTGTATTGTGGTCAAGGTCTTGTTTCTTTTTGCTAATAAGTGTTTTCCACATCAGGTGCAAATGTGCTGGGTGCACAAGTATAATGACAGTTATATCTTTGTATTGGACCCCCTTTATCACAACACAGTGCCCCTCTTAGTCAATTATTGCTATTTTTTACTAACAGCTTATCTTGCCAGATATTCAACTAGCAGTGTCTGTTCTTTTCTCTGAATTATTGGCTTGAAATCACTTGCTCCAGCTTTTGACTATGAGATAATGTCTTTAGATTTGATCTGAGTTTCTTGTTTGCATAATAAAAATGGATCCTGCTTTTTATCCAACCATACTCTGTTGATTGTGCATTCAGACTGTTCACATTTAGGGTGATTCTTGATATAAGGGCCTTAATTACCTCTATTCTGACTTTTGTTTTCTGGTTATTTTCTTTTACTGCTGTTGCTTTTTCTGTCTTTTTATTTCCAAAGTTCTTTTTCTCAGTAACTTAACCTTTACTTCTAAGACTCTCTGCTCCAGACGATTTTTGCCATGAGATTTCTATCAAACTTTCTGTATCTAAAATATTTTTTTGCAATGGAATGGACTCATCATTATTTGATGATATAGGTTCTGTCCTTTTCATCATAAGTATTATCACAATGAGAACACAACACAGAGCACTTCCGTCACCTCCCAAATCCTCCTGTAATATCCCTTTATAACCTCCTCCCACCCAAATACCTGGAGACCACCAATCTTCATACACACAAGCTGTTATTGTACGGTCTTTATGAGAAACACCTTTATGTGCTACCAAGACACAAGCAAATGAAGCATAATCTAGTTCCCCAAGTACTTTGTATTCTAATTGGAAAGATTATGTGAACGCTATAATCTACAAATGCTCATGAAATGTTTCTAGTACAGGTGAAGATAATGCCCAGTCCAGTTGTTCCCTTCTTGTTTTTACCAAATCATTCAATCTCAATTTTCTTCCCTTTTAGATATTTCTTTCGAAACCACACTCCCTTCTTCATGAAATAAAATTAAGGCACAAGGTTTTGCAAAGTAAGTTTAACTTTGAAAAGCAAAAAAGCATACTATTCAAAATTATTTTGCCACCCAATAACTAACTGTTTTCCACAAAGGGCACTATCCCTGTTGAGAAGCAAGTATTAAATGTCCCTCTTAAATGTATTAAAATCCCATCTCCAAAAACATTTCTGGTTATTTCTACACTGCCACCAACACAATAGTCAACTACATGCCCCCTGGCTCCTCACCTACAGGAGAGTGACATTCCTGGGCTTAACAATTTATGCCTATTAGTATGTGAAAAAAAAACCCTTAACATCCCTCAAAATTAGGGAAATGCAAATCAAAAACCACAATGAGATATCACCTGACACCAGTAAGAATGGCACACATTAAAAAAAACAGCAACAACAAATATTGGTGAGGATGTGGTGAAAAAGAAACTCTCCTGCTTGTGGTAGGAATGCAAACTGGTCCAGCCACTATGGAACGCTATATGGAGGTTCCTCAGACTACTAACAATGGAGCTACCAGATGACCCAGCAATCCCATATCTAGGGATATACCCAAAGCACACAAAAACACTAATTCAAAAGAATACCTGTAACCCTATGTTTATTGCAGCACTATTTATAACAGGTAAGACTTGGAAACAACCCAAATGCCCAAAAATAGATGACCGGATTAAGAAGATGTGGTATATATACACAATGGAATACTATTCAGCAATCAAAAAAAGATAAACTGACGCCATTTGCAGCAACGTGGATGGAGCCAGAAGGAATTATGCTCAGTGAAGTAAGTCAGAAAGAAAAGGAAAAATATCGGATGGTTTCACTTATAGGAGGGACATAGGGGAATCAAATAAGGCATTAGGGGGGAAAACAATAACAATAAAAAACATAACAAAACAAAACAAAAATAAACAGACAACTATAAATCAGAGACATTAGGCGGGGGAGGGGGAGGGAGAGGTATCAAAACGAGAGAAGGAAGAGCACAAGGGACTATGGTGATGGTGCACAAACTGATAGTGGAAATTCTATGGGGACTACACCTGAGAAAAGAAAGCAAACTTGTAAAAAAATGAAAAATGATGTTAAATATATACAAATAAATTTTAAAAATAAATATTTCATTGTAAAAAAAATTATGCCTATTAGAATGAAAATTTGTATTAAA